CCATAGATGAGGGTAGGAACGTAGATCGACCGGTAAATCGAGAGCTTCGCTTTCTGACTCAGCTCTCTCTTCACCACGACGGACCGGTACAGCGCCCGCTGTACAGCAGACGCTGCGCCAATCCACCTGTCGACCTCCTGCTCCGTTCTTAATAATGTAATAAAATTGTGTTCAATAAACTGGAAGTTGGAATAAATTTATGGAAAACCAGTTGATCTCTTCTAAAAAGCTTTATTTAAACGCTGCCAGTATAAAGCCCACAGCAGCCAGCAGCAGCTCTGAGTGAAAAAGGCCTTGGGTCTGATCAGAACCAAAACAATAACAACCCTCTCTATCAGCTGACACACGTCTCTGGCTGATCTAAAAGAGAGCGAGACTGCCTAATGATTAATGAAACATCATCCTCTTAAAGTAATACGTACATCTGACTTCCTGGTTACAGCCCTGGATGTGTTAATTTTTACATCAGACATGAGAACGTAACCAACTTTGTTCATACAGCTCCGTATTGATAAGACACACTGACTCTGTTCCTCTGTTAAACCATATGGCTGCACAGTGTGAAACACAAGACTGGATCTAAATATCATTTAATCAGTCACAAATTTTCCTTGAAAGATGAACACTAGTGATCACTCTGAGGGTAGCAGTGATTATTTTCACTGTATAGGAGGTTTTCCAAATTTGCTGCTTTCAACTAAAAGCTAATGGGGAGAATAACAGTGTCAAGTTCAGTTTGTGGGGGACTAAACAAATATTTCAAGCCATCTAAAATAACTCAGACCTAGTAAAGTTTCATTCCAATTTAGGAAAATGTTTTATGGTAGCTTTTTTTTCTCTGCTTGGCCTTCAGAGGAGCAGGTTGTGCCCCCGCCCCCTTCCCTGCTTTTTGCTTCTTCAAGCTCTTTTTTCACCTACCATCCAAAACTAAAGGAATTATGGATTTGGTCAACTGGTGTCTGAATGCAAGTGACACTCATTCCACACTTGGAAGGAGGGGAACATGGCTGGCTGGGTGGAACGGCTGTTGCTGGACTTGTCTGATTCCTGGGGCTGGAATCTGATATGCCAGCACCACTTTCCATCGAGGATGTGGACGATTAGATTTCTGATAACTGGATTCCTGTTGATTGGCAGAGGAAGGTTCCAGATTTATCGAAAAGTGAAAGCAACCCTGACAGTGGTTTGAGGAGCTGTCGGGCACACTTGAAGGATTCTGCCGGGCTGGAAGCACAGACTCTCAGCTGGGGGAAATAATTCGCAAACTGAATGTGATTCTGACGAGGCTCGTAACCCAGGAGCGAGCCTCCAGCATGTAAGGATTACATCTGGGTGACGCGTCAGATGGTGAGAGGCAAGGAAGACCCCAAATTTGGCTGATTGGGTTTATTTTATTTTTTCGCCACTTCAGAGTTGCAGTTAAGACATTTTAAAAGCAGCAGGAAATTCAAGGCTGGTTTGTTCCAAAACAATTGGATTATCTACTTTGGCTCCCAGCGGCATGGCCTTGACGGCAGTGTTTATCTCAATCTCCCCAGGATGGAATGTCAGCAAAGACCTGGATTTGCTCCCACCCCCATCATCAGTAACCGTGTTTCCATCAAGTCTTTCTGATGCGCATTTATAAGTGTCGCATTAAAATGCGAAAAAAAAGTCAGATGGAAACAGCAAAATTCAAAATAAAAATCCTCAATTCACTAAAAAGTTTTTACGCTCGCTTGAGGTGGTTCTTGGGTTTTTCGAAAAACACTTAATGCGCAAAAGGAGAGATGTAAACACTTTTGCCGAATAAGTTGTGATGTAGTGAACATTTACCTCGTGTAGCTTATCAGCTGTTCCCCGGTACCAGTTTTGGTCAGCTGCAGCCGCGACTGGAAGCACAACCCTCCTCGCGCAATCTGCGTCTTCTCAGTAATCCCGTAACGTGAAGAAAATTGCATTTCTTTCTCTACGTCTCCAGATAGCAGTAACATCACCAAAACTAGTTGATAACAGAATAATTACAACTTTCCTGATAGTAGCAACGCTTTTCTGATAACTTCTCTCCATTATCCTGAGATATGTGGACCCTGCGAGTTTAGCGATGGTTACTTCCTGTTTACTACGCACATGCGTATGACATAATTGATTCGCTTCAAGCCAGTTGATGGAAACTCCATTTGATTCGCATTTCTTAATTTTTTCCTTTTTGCGAAATTATTAAAATTAACTCAAAATTTGAATTAAAATTGGAAGTAATTGGATGGAAACACGAGTAGTGTTGGACCTGGCCTCAGAACTCAATTGGCTGAGGCAAAGGAAACTCTGAACTCTAGCGAACTGAGTAGAAAAAATAACATCACGTGACTCTGGACTCTGGAGGGGGCCAGGGTTGGGTCCTAGTATGGACCGCCCCTCCCTCAACGTCACCTACTCCTCTGAACCTGCCCCATCTTACCTCCCCCTTATGTGTTGTTTGACCCCCAGCCCACTCCCTCCCTTAGCTGCCTTGCACTGACACGAGTTTTTTTTTTTTTTGAGCGTATGATTCTGTGTAAACCCAGGATCAGAGCTTCTTTTTTTGTTAACTCACCTTTCCTATTGTGTGTATTCCAAGCTGCAAAAAGGTAGCGCACCATCGTGCGAAAGACCCTGGTTGCCCCATGTTCATTATTTGTGTTTCTCCGGACGTATGTTCTAAATTGCAATTTTGTTCTGCACTGCATCTTTGATGTTGTGTGTGAATGACAATAAATGATTCAGATATTTTTTAAGCAGCACCAGATGGTTGCTCACACATTGAGTCAAATTCACTAGGACGGTGAGGTGCATCCTTTTAGCTCATTATTTGCACTATCTGCTCCATCACAGTGTCGGATTAACATTCCGTATTTCAGAGTCACTATCAGATAAAAGGTCCCATAAATAAAACAACAGATACAAAAAGTTTAAGAATTCTGGAGAATAAGATGCAAAATATAAATTTGGCAAACCTTCTTAATCTTGATAAACGTTAGTTCTAATTTTCTGCATTTTTCTTATTAAACTAACTTATTTTCCGTTACAGGAAAAACTAAATCTAAAACTAGAGGTGGGAAAATCTCAAAGAAAATAAAGACAAAGAAAAGCTCATTTCTTAGAGTTAAATTCACTTACTTGTTTGCCAGAGTCTTGCATCGCTCCATCATCTCTGTGAGAAGTGACTGATGAGGAAACACATACATCGGAAAAGTCAGATTAATCAGTGAGTTTGTCCCTCATCAGGGTGAACCATTTCAGTGTGGTGTGAATGAAAACCTCTGCAGCTCTGTAGGCAATGCACTGTAGGATCCAGTTGATGGCAGGAGAGTAAAGGGTCAGGTACTCGGGCACCTCCACCCTTTGCACTAACAGCTGCTTCTGGATACTGTCACCACTGATCTGCCGGAAGGTGGTGAGCAGGTCAAAAAAGTTCTTGTTCAGGCACTCTTTCAGATGGGGCGCCACCTCCATGCCCACCTAGATTTCAAAATAAAGTTTAGTTACAGCTTAAAGGGAGTGGAGGGAAGGAAAACTGGGGAAGAAAAAAGCAGGCTGACCCTGCAGAGATAAGCTCTGGCATAAGCAGCAACAAGAGGATCTCCAACCCCTCTGATCATGGCTGTCAGCCGAAGGAGGGTCTCCTGAATTCCTCTGAGGTATAAAAACAAATGTGTAAAAACAAAAGCAATGAAATTTGATTAAACTTCTATCCTAAAGAAGCAGACAGGAAAAACTGTCAGGACTTACGATCTGTTGAGGAAATGGTTGCACTTAAGGATGGCAGCCTCAACATATCTGTGTCAAGAAGTTAAAGTCCCGTAACAAACCATGAGCAGAGCTCAATAAGTTGATCCTTTCGCAATCACTGCAACATCCGGAGAAATTACATTTTCTGTGAAAATACAGTATGAATGCTCAGTGCTAAATGACTACAACTTCTAAAGCAGAGGTTTTCAGCTAAAAGTAATTAAAGTAAGCAAAACTAAAATACTGAAACTAGCAAAATTGTAGGTAAAGTCTAAAATGAGCAAAACCATAGCTAAGTGTTCAAACTAGGCCACCATACACAAAAGTAATTTGATTGCAAACAAATTTTAAAGGAAGAAACTAGAAAACAATAGGGCAGTCATGTTTTTGCTCATTTAAATATGCATGTTAGTATTGTTAGCAAAATCCATCCGTCCGTTTTCTTCCTCTTATCCGGGGTCAGGTCTCGGGGGCAGCAGCCTAAGCAGAGAGACCCAGACTTCTCTCTCTCCAGCCACTTGGACCAGCTCCTCTGGGAGAATCCCAAGGTGTTCCCAGGCCAGCTGAGAAACATAGTCCCTCCAGCGTGTCCTGGGTCTTCCTCTGGGTCTCCTCCCAGTGGGACGTGTTCAGAACACCTCACCAGGGAGGCGTTCAGGAGGCATCCTAACCAGATGAACCACCTCAACTGGCTCCTCTCGACGTGGAGGAGCAGCGGCTCTACTCTGAGTCCCTCCTAGATGACGGAGCTTCTCACCCTATCTCTAAGGGAGAGCCCAGCCACCCTGCGGAGGAAACCCATTTTGGCAACTTGCACCCACGATCTTGTTCTTTTGGTCACTACCCAAAGTTCGTGACTATAGACGAGGGCAGGAAGGTAGACCGACCAGTATATCGAGAGCTTTCGAGAGCTTTGCATTCTGGCTCAGCTCTCTCTTCACCACGACAGACCGGTACAACGCCCGCATCACTGCAGATGCAGCACCAATCCACCTGTTGATCTCCCGCTCTATTCTTTCCTCATTCGTGAACAAGACCCTGAGATACTTAAACTCCTCCACTTGAGGCAGGACCTCCTCCCCGACCTGGAGAAGGCACCCTACCCTTTCCCAGCTCAAGACCATGGTCTCATATTTGGAGGCACTGATCCTCATCCCAGCTTCTTCACACTCGGCTGTGAACCGCTCCAGTGAGAGCTGGAGATCAGGATCTGATGAAGCCAATGGGACCACATCATCCACAAAAAGCAGAGATGTGATCCTAAGGTCACCAAAAAGGATCCCCTCAACACCTTGGCTACTCCTAGAAATTCTGTCCATAAAAATTATGAACAGAATCGGTGACAAAGAGCAAACTTGGTGGAGTCCAACTCTCACCGGAAACAAGTCTGACTTACTACTGGCAATGTGGACCAAGATCTGACAGCGGTCATACAGGGACCTAACAGACCATGTCAAAGGGCTTGGTACACCATACTCCCAGAGTACACCCCACAGGGACATGGTTGAATGCCTTCTCCAAGTCCACAAAATACATGTAGACTGGTTGGGCGAACTCCTATGAACCCTCCAGGATCCTACTGAGGGTGTAGAGCTGGTCTGCTGTTCCACGACCAGAATGAAAACCACATTGCTCTTTCGACTATATGACGGACCCTCCTCACCAGGACCCCTGAATAGACCTTACTAGGGAGGCTCAGAAGTGTGATCACCCTATAGTTGGAACACACTCTGTGGTCCCACTTCTTAAATAGGGGGTCCACCACCCCGGTCTGCCAATCCAGGGGAACTGCCCCCGATGTCCACGTGATATTGTAAAGTCGCATCAACTAACACAACCCCACAACATCCAGAGCCTTAAGGAACTCCGGGTGAATCTCACGCCACTGAGGAGCTTATTAACCACCTCGGTGACCTCGGCACCAGAGATTGGAGAGTCCGACCCAGGGTCCTCAGGTTCTGCTTCCTCATGGAAAGATGTGTCGGTAGGATTGGGGAAGTCTTCAAAGTATTCCGCCCACCGAACCATAACGTCCCAAGTTGAGGTCAGCAGCACACCATTCCCCACCATAAATAGTATTGGTGGTGAACCACTCCACCCCCACCCCCGAGGCGCCGGATGGTGGACCAGAATCGCCTCAAAGCCGTACAGAAGTCTTTTTCCATGGCCTCTCCAAACTCCTCCCATGCCGTGTTTTTGCCTCATCGACCATCCGAGCCGCAATCCGCTTGGACTGCCGATACCTATCAGCTGCTAACACCAGAGCTGCCGAAACAGGGGGCAATACATATGCCCACTCCTGCTTGGCGCATCTCAGCATGGGAAACTCCAGAGTGGAAGAGTGTCCAACCTCTCTGGAGGAGACTGGCTCTAGAGCAGAGCGGTGCATTGAGGTGAGTCCAACTATATCTAGTCGGAACCTCTCAACCTCACACACCAGCTCAGGCTCCTCCCCCACCAGAGAGGTGACGTTCCACGTCCCTAGAGCCAGCTTCTGTAGCCGAGGATCAGACCTCCAAGGTCCTCGCCTTCGACCACTGCCCAGCACACATTGCACTCGACCCCTACAGCCCCTCCCACAGATGATAGTGAGCCCATGGGAAGGAGGACCCATGTCTCCTTTTGGGGCTGTGCCCGACCGGGCTCCATGGGTGAAAGCCCAGCCATCAGGTGCTCGCCAACGTGTCCCACCTCCAGGTCTGGCTCCTGAGCGGGGCCCTGGTGACCTGTGCCCGTGCGAGGAAACACTGAATCCATCTGTAGTACTCATCATAGGGGTCTTTGGGCTGCACTTTTTCTGATCCCTCAACTAGAACCTGTTTGCCTTGGGTGCTTTGGGTGTCCCAATGATCCTAGGAGCTATGTTGTCAGGGGCTTCATGCCAGTCCAGTGGCTCTGATTGATTTTCCTTCTTTTCTCGGCTTTTCTCCCAGAGACACCTCTTTGGTCTTCCTGTTGGTTTATCCTCTTTAACAATAAATACCTGCTTTCTATGTACAAACCCAGGCCAAACAGTAGACTAGTCCTGCAGAGCTATGTTCCATGTTCCAATAGTTTTGATCACTTGAAAAATGGGTGTGTTCAAACAAAGGGTGGTACATTTAGAGTCGTTTAACACATCTACATAAATACGTAAATACCAGGAAATAAAAGCTGGCATTCAGAACTCTTGTCTCCTCTTTTGATCTTAAACTCAAATGTCTTCAGTGGACAATAAAAACAAGAGAATTTGACCTGCTGTTCCAATCCTGTGGGAGGCAACTGTACATCAGTTTCTATATAAGTAAGCCTTTTCTGAAACCAATTTGAATTTAAAGCAGAGTGAGTGTTTTGTAGGATGTTGCTGAAGGATACAGTCTGGGCAGCAGCTCTCTGATGGACGCGATCTTAAAGAACCAGTTCAGGCATGTCTCCTTCGCTGTGTCATTCACATCATCAAGTGTGAAGCATTCTGAGGTAGGACACAAACAGGAGAAAAAAGTAGTTATAATGAGCAGCTGATTCATGCCACTTGAAGAAATATGAATCAGAAATGTAATTTTCTGACCCCAACAGGAGATATGACACCAGATTAAGAACTAACCCAAAAAGTGTTCAGATAGAGTCTGAAAACCAGCACTGCTGATAGCAGACGACAAATCTCTGGGTGAAATTTAACGCTTCTGCAACAACAAAAAAGCCAAGGTTCTTAGCTTTGCTGATAAAATAATGTCTAACGTCACAGAGAAGACAATGGTAGTGACAGCTGAGTATCCGACAGTGAAGAAGCTCATCATTGACACTGGAGCAGGTGACACTGTGTGACGACAATCAGAGATCTTGAAAGAGGATTTTAATCACCTGCTGAACAAAGTTCAAAGTCTCAAGATGGAGGCGTGGACGTCTGAAAAATTCATCAGACTGCTGATGCTTAACGAGTGGCTTAAACATGCCTGGGCTGGGAACTCTGAACTTTATCAATAATTTCAATATATTGATGACAGGACAGTGGAGGGCCTCATCAGTGACGACGATGACTCAGCGTACAGAGAGGAGGTATGTACATCAACTCATCAAGTGGTGTGGCAGAAACTACCTGCTACTCACTGTCAACAAAACAAAAGAAATAACTGTGGACTTCAGGAAAGAAAAACCAACTCACATCCCACTCATCATCAATGGCAGTGCTGTGGAGTCTGTGAAAAGCACAAAGTTCCTTGGAGTGCACATCACAGATGACCTCACATGGACTACAAACACCACCTGCCTGGTCAAAAAGGCTCAGACACGACTCCACTTTCTGCAGAGGCTGAGAAGAGCCAACCTCCCCACATCTGCACTCACCAACTTCTACAGGGGAGCCATTGAGAGCATCCTGACCAGCAGCCTCTCTGTTTGGCACAGCAGCTGTCGAGTTGCAGACAAGGCGGCTCTCCAGAGGGTGGTGAGGACCACAGAAAAGATCATCAGATCACCTCTACCAGCCATTCAGGACCTCTACACTTCACACTGTTCCAAGAGAGCCATGTGCATAATGAAAGACCCTACCCAGCTCACAAACTGTTTTCTCTATCAGGGAAGTGCTACCACAGCATGCGGTGTCGTACAAGTAGACTGGGAAACAGTTTCTTTCCACAAGCCATTAGACTCATCAACACAATGAAGAAAACCAAATGAACATTTCAAGGATAATGAAAAACATTTCATAAACATTTCTTTCAATGCACCACTTGCACTTTACTCTTTGCACCTTGCATTTGACATCTACATTACCTCAAATTATCTGTACAATACATTACCTCACATTATCTGTATGCCCACTGATTGTACCTCTGCTGCTGTGTGTGTGTGTGTGTGTGTGTGTGTGTGTATTTAGTGTCCATCAGTACTGTATTCTTATTGCACAGGGTATTGCAGTGTGGGTGTGTTGTATCACTGTGTGAATGTGTGTGTGTGTTGTGAGTGACCATGTCAAAGAGAGAATGTTAACTCATGTATCAGTATGTTAGTTTTTTACTGCACGTTGTGTGTATGTATGTGTGTGTGTGTGTGTGTGTGTGGGGGGGTGTTACTGTCGATGTCTTATCGATATGTTAATATGTTTAACTGCACATTGGAGACTGGTGAAACACAATTTCAACTTCTGTGCCAACCCTGTTACATAGATTTTGACAATAAAGTTCACTTGAACTTGACATTCTGGGAAACAAATCCATGTTGAAGGCAGATCATGGAACAGTTCTGGAGTGCAGCTTTTCACTAACATGTGTTATTATGTAAATCTGACACCACAAGCCTGTGTACATACAGGAGACAGGAAAATACACAACTGATAGATGTAATGCTGAGGCACAACTGCAGCCTGCTGAAATAAGGACCTGCGGAGGTTTACTGCAACAAACAAACTCAGACGATCATTTTACGAAGTGCTTTTATTCTTTGAATCACACATTCCTGATTCTTGTAAAATAATTATTTCCACAACTTCATGGTGTACAGTTCACAAAGGCCAACCATTGTCATCCCAGAGGTTTGAGACTGCACTGTACAGATCATTAGTCTCTGATACAGGTGTGAAGGTGCAGAGCCTTCATTTGGTCTGAAAGCCTGTTCCATCAGGAGCATGGCCACACCTTGTTTCTAAGAGTATCTGTCCAGGATATTTGTACTGCAGATACAGTGGTTTGCAAAAGTATTCATACCCCTTGAACTTTTCCATATTTTGTCACATTACAACCACAAACATAAATATATTTCA